AATCCAAAACCAAGGCACGTGTGGTAGTGGCTGTAGGAGCCCCCCAGGCACCATCCCATCAGCCCACATGGGGATGACTGAGCAGGAGACAGAGGGATGACTGAGCAAGGAGCAAGGCAGCTCTGTCAGGGCTTATCATAACACCTGTCTCTGAAGCCAGCAATTGCACACACTGTGAATGAAACGATTTGATAAAAACATTCAGTTCTCCAGCCAGTCTAATAAGCTGTAATCTAAATCTATTTCCCTTCAAATGGAAAGAACAAAGAAATCAATAACTGATAGGCAAGCCTCTTCTCACGGGGCAGAAACGCTTGCTATAACAACTCTAAACTAGTACTCCTCTGCACCATGGGTTTTATCACTGCCCTGGGACCCTGCAACCAAGATTGGAACAGCCTCTATTCACTAAACTGTTTAAATTCATTAATGGAAACTCTTCTCCATAGTTACCTAACCAAGAGGAACTCAACAGCTGAGGAAAACTTTAAAGATGTTTCCCTGCTTTCCTGGAGCCTCATTTAATGCCCATTCTCCCCTTTAGTTCCAGCAACCCAGATTTCCTCCCACCTGGAGAGTTGAGATGCCTGAGAGAGAAGCAGGTATTGGGGGAGTTTCTGGGCATCAAAAGATGGTTTGGATGCACCTGGATTCAGGTCTGGTGTGGAGGAGCTGCTCCACAGCTACCATTTTCCAAAGGACACACCAAGTCCTGCTTCATCCTGTGGGGATTAAAGCAAGCCTGAGCTCAGAAAAAGTTAACCCAGTAGCAAAGAAACCAGTAAAGGCCCATAGAAATGTTTTCAAATGCTAGAGACCTAATAATGAAACATTCTGTTCAGTAGAGAACCACACTTGTTCCAAAGCTGTAAATTGCCTCTAAAGTGTCTGCCAGGGCTGGTCTTCATGCACAGGCCCTGCTCTGGGCAAGGAGGATCTCCCCACTGAGGGGCTGTGGCTCACAGCAGAGGTATCTCAGTCCTCTGCATCGCTGCTGCCAAGGTCAGAACAGCAACAGCCATGGTGGGGCTGAAACTGCAGGGCTCAGACCTCCCAGGTCTGCTCTGGGCTCCTCATGTTTAACACTGGCAGCCAATATTTCCAGAACTTGTGATTTTCCAGGCCCCAAAAGCTACTTCTGCCATGAGTTCCAAGTGAGCAGATGGCAGCACCAGTGTGATTATTCAGTACTATTATTAGATATTTACTAGTTAGCGTTTGTGCTGCTCACCATTGGGTTCAGTTCCCCAGAGCTGGGTGATGAAGCCCTCAGGGAGGCTCTTGCAGGATGTGAGTGACCACACCAGTCTGTGTATGATGATCACTTTTGTGGCACTGCTGCTGGCATCTAAGCAATGAGCAGTAAATTCACTGTCACTCCCACTGCCACCAGCACAGTTTTTGCTTGTCATACTTTTCCTACCCAAGGCATGTCACTGCTTTCAAGATTCCCCAGCCCCTCCTGAGTGGTCCCAGTCTCTTAGGAGGTGGCTGATGTGCCACAGGAGTCTGCCTTCAATTAACCTCTCAAAACTACCTGTGAAGCAGCAGGCAGCCCATCCCATCCTGGAGACCCCCATGGCAGAGGCCAGCACTGGTGACCATTATCAGCACACAATGGGCCCTGGACAGGCTGCTTGGAAACAGACCTGCAGACACAGCCCAGCTGCAGAGCCCAGACAACCTCCTGCACGGTAAGGCCACCAGCTGGGAAAAGGATTCTTGCATTCCCTCATAAAGCAACCCAAGTATAATCTCTTCAGAGCCATGTCTGTGGGCTAAGGAGTAGTGATGGGGAGGCAGACTTTCCCTGAAGCTCTCAAGTTCAGCTTAGGCTGCACTGCCAGAGGCATTTGTCAGATCAGTAAAAAGTATTTGCATGTTGAGATTGTTCTCAACACTTCTCTTGGATCTGCCCATTGACAAGAAATAAAAAACTCCACCAACTCCTTTGGTATCTACCCAGGGCCTCCAGTGTGATTTTGGGAGCCTCTTCACTAAAAGAAGTAACTTATGGATGACCTAAAAGAGGGCCTTGTTTGAGGGGCTTATAAAAACCACACCAGCCTCCTGAGCATGCAGCTCCCTCTGAGCCCAGGCTGGGGCAAGCAGACAAGGTTGTGGTCAGCATCTGCCCCAGTCTGAGAGGCCAGTGCTTCACTGCAGGCCTTTCCTCTGGCTCTGGCACTGCACACTGGGACCAACAAGAGCCAGGCAGGAATTCAGCCTGAGCTGCAGCTGGAAGGGCACAGCAGCACCTGCCAGCCATCACAGAGTGGGCACAGCAGCAAGCAGCAGAGCTGCTTATGGCATCCCAGTGGCCTGATTTGGGTAGGAGTAGGAGTGGAATACGGCATTTAGGAGGCTTTCAAGGATGGCCTTTGAGCAAATCACATCCAGCTGCCACTGGGCTAGCACAGATATTTTTTCTGACATTTACTGAGCACCAGAGGGACAGAATCCAAAATCGGTCCCTGCTGATGAAGACACAGAGGAATCCAAATTAACTTTCCACCAGTCTGTTTATCTCTTTTCATTATCTGCTGGTGAGGACCTCCCCCTGCCTCTGCAGCAAGGGGCATTTAGGCATTTCCCAAAGGAACAGGCAAGGCCTTGGAACAAGCCCCAGAGATGGCCTGTCCCCATGGCAGGAGTCAACAGCTCACCCTAATGCCAAGCATTTCTCTGTGACAGCTCTCCCAGAGATGCTGCAGCAGTTACAGGAGCCATTCCCAGAGTAACAGTAACAAACAGTGCTACAGCATAAAAAAGGATGGATGATACATATTCGCTCCTCTGAACCCATCAGCAGGTGCTGGCCAAAGCAATAGAAGATTTCCCAGGTAAGCCCTTCAGCATATTTGTCAAAAAGGTTCTGCAGGGCAGGAGTCCCCAGTCAGCAGCACTCCACAAGAAGCTGTGATATTGGCAGCACTGCTGCCTGTCATGGAAATCTCATGTCTGTCATTCACAAATCCTTTAATTTCATTTGAAGGGTCAAAATTCATCAGGGAATTTCCCAGCCTGCCCACATGAGTACACTCAAATAGCCAAATGCCAAAATTACTGTTCAAAGCAGAAATGTGTGCTCCACACTGGCCAAAACCAGCCATTCCTGAGATTTACCTGTGTTTCAAGCTGAGAAAACTTCAGCTGAAGTTCGCAGAGCACAGTTCTTCTATGTTTTGGGCAGCCCTGGCTGCTACAGCCAGATTATGTATGATGGGATGGGAGCACTGCCTATCTGCGCCCAGGCTGTGCTGCTGCTGTCACCTGTGCCCAGGCCACGGGAAGCAGGGCAAGGCAGCAGCTGCTGGCAAACCAGCAGTAGCATCTCTTAACAGTGATATTACAGTGCCCACCTTGCCCTATTTGCTAAAAGCTGCCATTCAGTAGCTCCTCTCCTCAGCCATGCTGGTGTGTGTGGTGTGCACGCACACCCGTGTGCCAGGCGAGCACACCCGCACACACACACCTGGGGTCTGGGCACACACGGGAGCACCCCTGCAGCGTGCAGGGCTGACAGCAGCCCCAGGCACAGGAGCAGCCTCCTGGCAAACACAGACCCGGCTGCATGAAATAGCAACACATCAGCATCGCCAGGGACTGACTCCCAGAAGCAGTGCTAGGTAACAGCGACAGAAACATTAATATTTTCTGACTCAAGGGCTCCACCAGGAGGAAAAAGCAGCCCAGATCATCCCCCTAGGAAGGCCAGAAGGAAGATGCTCCTCTGGCAGGCTGGGTGACCACGCTTGCTCTTTCAAAGCTTTCATCACTCAAAAACAAGGACAAGAAATGTGGTGGAAGTGGATCAGCACAGTGTCAGCTGGCCAGAGGCAGGTGGCAGTTCTGAGGGTGCTGCCACACACACAGCATCCTCATCTGCAGCAAAAATCTCACCAGTCCAGAAAAACTAAGAAAAAGGTTGCTAACTGCCCTGCCTTCCCCTGCTTTCTTTGATTTCCCAACAAGGGCTGGGAATATTCACTGACCTACTGCACTGGGCAGTGGTTTCACAGCCAGAGCAGGGCGTTGGGAGCACCATGTCTGCCTGTGGCTACTGATAACCAGCTCAGGGGACTTGCTGGGAGGCACATGTCTGCTTGAAAGGGAACAATGGGAACTACAGAGGCCACTCTGGAATTAAAAGTGGGGATTCTTCCCATGAGCTACAGCTCCTATTGCAGACCCTAGAAGGAGGTTTCTACTCATCTGACCCTTGCAGATGTTCTTCACCACGAGACAAGCACCTCCAAGGAAGCCCCTTCTCTGTCACACTGAAGTCACACACCAGCTTTATTCCAACTCAGGGCACAGAGACCATGTGTACACTGAAGGGATGCTTTGCACCTTCTCCCCCACACACAGACCCACCAGGCTTTCTTAAGCTTGATGGCCACAGTGTGAGACACACAGAGCCCTCAGAAGCCCCCGGGGTTTCTGCCCAGTGCCCAGTGCTGGGGGAAGAAGGCACCTTCTGCCTGTCATGCCTGTCTCAAGGAGGCTGCAGGGACAAGACTTCTGAAATGACAGCCCTGACAGTGCCTACACGAGCAGGTGTGAAGCTGTGCCAGCTCACAGCCAGGTGATCAGAGTTTGGCTTCAGGCAGGTGCCTGGCTGGCCCCAGCTCAGGGCCTGAACCTGATGATGCTGTGCCCAAGGGCATGGTGCTCTTGATATATCAGGTACCACCCACTGACAATACATTTTTGGAGTGTTTCTTCACTGAACCTTACAGACACCCAAAAGATTTCTCCTTGTGGCAGAAAATCCCAATTAAAAACAAAACAAAACAAACAAACACCAAACCCACTTGTTTGCTCACTAGACTGCAAAACCTATTTCCAGGAACAAGAAAGAGCAAGTCAAGAGCTCCAAAAAGTGCAAGACAATATATAGAGCACTCACAACTTTCTCCCACAATCCAAAAGCTGTGAATACTGACTTACTCTGTCATATCCCAATTTTATCACTTTGGATTTCACAAGGAAGCATGTAATTTGTAAATGAAGGCATGGGTTTCCCCACACTCAGATTTTATTGAACAACACATATTTTACATACAAATCAAGTGGGAGCTGTTGTACCAGACTTTGGTATCTCACAGACATTTACAGAACCTGAGCACATTGCAGTTTCATATTAGAACACTCTCTATACTCTCATCATAATTCACAACACTCAAAATAAATACTTTTTAGTACTTTCAGTGACATAATAGGTTCCATTACTCCAACAACAGACGCATTTACAGTATTTTCTCCTTCTGCCCTATCAACTCAGAATTTCCAAAAGGCATTGAGTTTTCCCACTGAGTCCACAGTTCTCTTGCAGTTTCAGGATGTTAGTGAGGGCCACCAAGCTCCAGCTTTTCTCTGTATTCTCAATGTTCCACTCTGCTCTCTTCCAAGTACCTTATGTCACATGATGCAGGCTCTTCTCTAGGAAAACAAAAAGCTGTTCCATTTCCATGTTCAGTACATACTCCTGATCTTTTACTAAAAAGAGACTAAAAAAACAGAGTGAATTTTGCTGCTTATTTTTACAGCAGGGACAGTTGTTCACTGGGAACTATGCTAAGGCAGTGGACCTGTTCCATGGAACTCAGGTACCCAGGACTATGGCTGATCTGGGCTGGCAGGGAAATAACACTTGTGCTACCCCATCACTGATAACCCTGGGCTGTTAGTTTGGCTCATGCCAGGTATATCAAAAGCAGCACAAGATATTTGCAACCGTAAGACTTACAAAAGCTCTTCCAAAAATTATGAATATTATGAAAAATGCTTGGGTTTAATAAAGCAGAACCCTTTGCCTAGCTCTTGTATATTCACTTCATCTTGGAAAAAAGAGCCTATTTATTTGCAGATAAGTCAGGTACAGCTGAATAGCATCCGTCCCACCCCAAGCACCACTGCAGTGCATTAACCACTCTTCAATCTATTTTCTCCATGTGGTATCAAAAAATTACAAACAGTTTTCAGGCACACAATCAAAAACCAAACAGTCCTTTGTAAGATGCTGCTACTCCATACTACTTTTGTTTTGTTTTTTAAATGTTTAATACCTTCTTTCAGAAGCTCTTCTGTGACAATGGTTCCAATGATTCAGATCAGACACACAACCTGATGTACCTGCATACATTACTGGGTACTTCCTTACAGCCCCAGGAGTCTGTTTGTAGCACCTCAAGGGATAATCCCTTGGAATGACATGTCTTCTCACCCCTTCAGTGCACAAGTGCAACCAAGAAAGGGAGAATATCAAACCACCCAGCACAACAAGGGGAGATGGACAACACCCGGAGCTGGCTGTTTCAGTGTCAGATGATTACAAATACAACTACAGATTGCTTAATAAGGCACTTGATCAGTGAAGCATGGGAAAACAGGCAGCACAAGCCAAAGAACTACAGGATGTGGTATTTCTCCACTGTTAACAGGTGTGCCTTTTCAAGGACCATTCAAAGTCCACTGACCTGTTCAGTAACAGCTGTGAATCACATGCATTTGAATTAAATGCCTTCCAAGACCCACCAGTTTTCCAATCTGAGTAAAATTTTTTTCAGACCAGAAGCCAGGTTAATGGGGAGATTGCCCATAATTCCCAGGTTTAATAACATTCTATAGTTCAGACCTCATTAAGGTTTCCCCACATTCAATTATTACTGTATCTGCAACAGGATGAAACAGAAGAGCTTTTACTCTATACCAAATCTATAAACATGAAAACAGGAAAGAGGAAAATAATTTATAGCAACATTTTTACATGGAGTGATGCCTCAGCTGGTTTTCAGATTAAAATACCATAACATGAAGTAAATATACAGTTTGCTTTCTTAAAACACTACTGAACTCTTTAAAAAGTAGTAGCATCCATTCCATGTCATTTTTAAAGACAGCATTAACAGCAGATGAGTCAAGGGAATCTTAAAAAGGCCATCCTTTTACAAAGCCAAAAGTTTTTACAAACAATCCCCCTTTTGTTTTTCAAATGACACAGAGAGAAATATATTTACTCCTCTGACAAACAACATGAAAACCCAGGAAAAATATCCCAGTAGACTCTGATTTCCATGAGAAGAAATTAAATCAACTTCACAGCATAAAGGGAGATGAGGAGAGGGAAACAGTCACCATTCATTTGCCAATTTGTCAAAAATCTGCATCCAGAGTAAAGACATTGTCCATTGTTTCTGCCATAACAGCAAAACGTTGATATTCCGAAACCCGCTTCTCAAAGAAATTTGTTTTTCCTTCCAGAGAAATATTCTCCATGAAATCAAAAGGATTTTCTGCATTAAAGACCTGGGGAAGGAAAACACACTGGTGATTCTGACAGGGAAATAATGCTTTAAAAACCCCACCACAAACAAAACTGTCGAACTCTTTCAAACTAGACCACCTCTGGCTGCAATATCCTATAGGATCCACGGACCCCTCTTGAAGCAAATTCAGCACTGCCGCTCCCAGGAGTTTGGTCTGTGGTTTAGCTCATTTGTGCAAGGTGCATGTTATTCCTCAAGCACTGCAGCATCTGAGCACAGCTTGCATTTCCCATTACAAACCTGCTGAGCAGCTGAAGGGAAACAAAGGCCTACATTGTTCTTACTCTTTTACAGCGAACCATAGGTATGAATGCTGTGGTTTCAGCTGTCACTCACAGGAAGTCCATGTGCTAAATATGACCTGCTCCCCAGCATGACAAGGGATTGCTTTGTACTGACAGTTCCTGTGGGCTGCACTGGCAGGCCAGCATTTGGGGCAATTCCATCTCTTACCTTTGAGAACCCAAGCTCCATCAGTAACCGGTCTGCAACAAATTCAATGTATTGTTTCATCAAGGTGCAATTCATTCCAATCAGACCCACAGGTAATGCCTCAGTTAGAAACTCCTAGAAGTTAAAATACAGATGACATTTAGAGAAATGAAATTTAAGAAAAAAATAGGAGAAAAGGAGAGAAGACACCTGTGTTTCACAGTAACATACTTTGTGATGTTCCAGGCTCCCCAGGAAGTTGTCTAAATAAATAACTTGCATCACTAAATTCAACAAATACCTTCTGTTTTCAGTAACTGTTTGTATCTTCCTTTATTTTTAGCCTGTTACTCTGGAAAAGGCATAAGATTTTTATCACTGCCCCTCTAATCTGCTTTTCTCCAATCCCCCAGCATAAGTTTCAGTGTAAACTTAAGCTCCAACTTCAATAAACCTACAGACCATACTAGTGGGAGCAGGGATAGATCAAGAAATCACCAGTTTTCCTGGCTTCCAGCCATTACAGAGTGACAGATGAGAGGGCAGTGATACATATGAGTGCTGAACCCAGTCATGTGTATATTCAGGCACCAATGCACACCTGTCTCAGTGTTGTGAGACAAAGCAGGGCATTTGTCATCATCACAGTAGTTAGATAACAACAGGAAAGAAAGCTAAACTAAAATCCTGCCAAACACTCAGCCATGCAGAAACTTGTGCCTGCAGAAAGGGCATCACTTCACATGAAAGAACCTGACATCAACCTCAGGAAAAGCCAGAAGACAGCATGATGCTCATGGCCAGAACAGACCTGCCTTCTCCTGAGGACAAGCAGAGATGTGAATACAATAGGGAGAGACAAAGATCCTGAAAGGACAGATGTAAACAAACTGCTCTCTAAGAGACAGCTGCAGTTCATTATTGTAGGTCCCTTCCAACTCTAACTATTCTATTCAACATCAAATAAGACAGCTTTTCTTCCTTTCTGTCATTAAAGAGAAAACCAGCTGCCAGCTTCAGCTTGCCCCAGTTGCTTGACAACTGAATCACAAAGTCTCTGACTCTTATTGTCACCGTTAAGGAAGAGGGAAGGAACAGTATAACGCATCAGGAATGAAGCCTGAGCCAAGAATCAAACATGGAATCCCAAAAGTTAGAAGTTAATTTGTTTATTATCACACCTCAGACTAAGCCTGTGCTGCCCACAATGCTGTCACAGCCAGGATTACCTGCTCAATCTCTACAGCATTAACGATGATCTCACACACTCGCTCTTCTGATGGTCTGTTCACTAAATAATGGAACATTAGACAAGCGAAATCACAGTGCAGACCCTGAAATAAGAGAACAATGAAAAACACAGTCAATTTTCTGCTCTTCCACAGAGTTTGCTCTTATTTTCAGGCAGTGTCATTTGGGTTGAAGTTTCCCAGCCTCCTGCTTTTATGAAAGCCTTAATGTTATCACTTGTAGTTTACAATCCAGTAACATCTCAAATCTAACACATGCCACCTGTGCCAAAATAATGTTCAGCACACACGTTTCTCAGGTTAAAACTTTTCTGAGGGCTGCTCTACTGTGAGTGATCCTACACAGAGTCTTGCTGGTCTCTGCCTCCTGTCAGGGATGATTATGCTGAAAGACTTCTACATCAAGATCTGCAAAACTACTTGTGAGTTAAAACACACTGTTTACTTGCTCTTTGCTTTGAGATACTTGACTTAAATTCTTTCAGTAGCATTTCTTCCCTTGCTTCTCCCGACAGCATTTTCAGAAAGGCAGATTCAGATTAAAGTCACCAAACTCAAGATTAACAAATCATCTCTTCTCCAACTAAAGTTCCCTTCTCATTTCACCCAGCTATCCTGCACAGAGCCTAGTAAACTGTGCTCCTTTCCAGGATTTCCAGAAAAGTCTCCTGCCAAGGTAAGAAAACGCCAGGAGACAAGCAACCCCAGACAGCTGCTCCCAGAGGCACCTCAGCTTCTCTTTAACTTGCTTCAGCCACACCTACCACTGCCAGCCTAAAGGAGCACTGTGCTACTATCTCTCCTCTCAACTGCAAGGTGGTGATTACAGCCAATAAACACCAAGAGGGCACATCCAGAGTGAAAACCAATCAGAAAGAATTTGGCAGACTATGGGCTACAAGACAATCCAGTATTATCACTACCAAGGGTCAAAGCAAAACCTGGGGGCTGACCTACTAGAGAGCTGTTCTGCTGCAACAGACCTGGGAGTCTCAGTGGATAACAAGGTGACTGAGCCTGCAGTGCTCACATGATCAGAAGGGCCAAGGGTATCTCAGGGTGCATCGGGAAGAGTGGCCAGCAGGTCAAGCGAGGTGATCCTCTCCCTCTGCCCATCCCTGGCAAGGTCACACCCGGACTGCTGCGTCCAGTACTGGGATCCTCAGTATGGAATAGACAAGGAGCTACTGGAGAGGGTCCAGCAGAGGTCACAAAAATGATGAGGGGTCTGGAGCATCTTTTAATGAGAAGAGACTGCAGAAGCTGGGCCTGTTTAATCTGGAGAACACTGAGAGGGGATCTCATTGATGCATATACTTATCTCAAAGGTGGTGTTGTGGTTTAGGAATGGTACTCCCCAGTTCAGTGCCCCTACCAAGACTCTCCCAAACCAGATGCCACTTGCTTGCCCCCTGCCACCACCAAGACACCCCTGGCCTCCCCTTGCCCCTTCCTGCTCTGAATGGAGGCACAAAAGGTGAAAATCACAGGATGGGTAAGAACAATTTACTGGAAACAACAGTGAGATAAGAAAAGGGATGGTAACAGCAATATGAACAACAAACTGTGTAAGACAAGCTATTTACATGGAAACCCATGACAAATTCCCAACTACATTTTTTCCCACTGGAAGGAACACCCTCTTCTCAAAAGCAAGAGAGGGAGTCCCTTCTTTTCCCCACCCCTGTCAATGACCTGAGATGGTACCCAATAACAGTAGGGTCTTAGCCACACAGCTTCAGGCTCTACCCCCTCACAGCTACTGCAAAAAATTAACCCTGTCATTGGCTGAAGCCAGGACAGCTAGGTGCCAAGAGGAGGATGCCAGACTCTTTTCAGTGGTGCCCAGAAACAGCATGAGGAGCAATGGCTGTAAACTAAAACACAAGTTGCACCTCAATATGAGAAAGAACTTCTTCACATCAAGTGTGACAGAGCACTGGAACAGGCTGCCCAGGGTGATTGCAGAGCCTCCCTCCCTGGAGACATTCCAAACCCACCTGGACACCTTCTTGTGTTAGCTGCTTCAGGTGACCCTGCGTGGATTTCCAGAGGACCCTTCCAACCCTAACAACATTGTGATTCTGTGAAAACCTTTTTGGAAAGTCTATAAAATCCTTCTGATTAAGGTCATGAAACAGCCCTGAAGTTATTAATTTTGGAAATATCCTCCCCTCCAGTGACTGCATTAACTGCCTGCTGCAAGGCTTCCCATGGCCTTATCCAGGGAAGCAGGATGCAGGACATGCCTGGCTTCTCCACGAACCCATGTGCTCTGCTGACTGGGGCTCCTACCGCTTTGCACCTTTAAGCATCAGCTCAAGAACAGCCTGGGAGCAGAGCCAGCAGCTCAAAAAACACAGTGAACGTTGATCATTTATCTGTTCAGGTGCATCAAAAAACAGTTTGTAGTTTTCCATTGAGGATTCTTTTTACTGCCACTGGGTTTCAATGCAGGTGCTCTGTGCACCAAGCTTTAACCTTCATAACAGAACTGCAGTTGGAATTATGCCAGCAGAGCTCAAGAAAATTTTAGTCTTTTGGTGCTTGACTCTGCAGAAAAGTACAGTTACATTCACTCACCAGCAAGTGATCCTTGTAACAAACAAATCCTGCCTCACTCAAATGGATCAGTTCATGATGACTCACAAAAGACACAAGGAAGGTGAAGGCTGAAGAATTATTTGGTTTTCCTTACTCATCATATCACTTTCTTCAAAAGTGTCTTTTAAAGACATATCATAAGATGTCTCATTTCAAAGCAATTTATCTAACCCATGAAAATTACTTCCATTATAAAAAAGCTCTTTACACATTAAGACCAACTCTGCTAAGTTACAACCACTAGTGTCCTGGGGTGACGTTATGATGCTTGTATATCCCCATTCATCTGTTCTGTGCCTTTAAGACCGGCTCTGAAGAGTGGAAGTTTTGTTTGGGTTTCTCTTATCAGGACACAGAGACAAGCAGTAGACAGAGCTGTTTTTTTTTTTTTACTTCCAGCTTTGGGCTTGCTGCTTTTGCTTGCTGCTTTTGCTTGCTCTCTTTTTCTGCTCTTGCTTCTGCTCTGCTTTCTGCCTCTGCTTATTAGCTAGTTCTAGCTAAACAGTCCACATTGTTTCCTGGACTGTTTCTCCTCTCCTGTTCCTGTGACCATCTCGAACCTGCTCCGGACTGGGACCCGGGAACACTGAAGGCTCGGCTGCAGCGGCTGGCCCAGCGCCGGAGGGACTGAGAACAGAGCCACCACCCCCGAAAGAGACTTTCTCATTTTGCCATCTTTCTCAAAGCGGTGTCATCGGGTATTGTTCATTTTGTGTGCTGGGGGGTGCGGGGCCAGTCAAATAAACAGGTTCTTTCCACCTCTCTCCGAGGAATTTTTTCCCCGAACCGGTTGGGGGGAGGGGCCGTGTTGGTTTCGCTTTCTGGAGGGGCCCTCCTTTGCAGATTCTTTAACAAATTTGCCCTAAACCATAACAACTAGCAAGTTTATACTGCATACAAAACTGGTCTTTCTAGTTTTTCAGTGCTGACAGTGATGTAAGCAGTGCAGTGCACAGTCCCCAGCCATAAACAACAGCTGCAAACTTACAGGGAGAAAGTAAAAAGAAAGAAGGAAGCAGTACAAAGAAGGGGCACTTGTAAGTGGTCTGTCATATCTGGTGTGCTGACATGCAGCCCCTCACATACCTCACATCCTAAGTTAAGAAGCACTCTCCTCAAAGGCAGATCTGTGGTTGCCCCCTCCCAGGAGATTTTATTGCTGAGCAGCAACACAAGCCCATGGAGAGGAGTGGTATCTGCTGCTTCTGCAGCAACCTGCCACAGCTGCCTTGGTGATGGATGCAGGTGGCTGTCTGCAAGCTCTGGGACCCACAACCAGAATCAAGTGAGGAGTGGTACCTGGAGCCCACCTGAACCTGCCTGAAGCAGCTGAGGCACAGCACATCTCAGAGTCACACACTATCCAGGTCCTTGCTCCAGCCAGCCCCCCCTGCAGCTGGGGCCATGCAATTCCACCCCACCACTTGAGCAGCTGGGCCTCTGCCTCCCTTCACAGCACAGGAAAACAAACATCCCCTTCAATCTACAAAATCCCTCTTTTTGATAATACTATATACATTGGTGTGCTGGTTTTGGCTGGTGTGCTGTTTTGGGGTAGGGTTGGTGTTCTTCAAGTACAGTATGGGTCTGTGTTTTGGATTTGTGCTGAACACAGGGTTGATAATATTGAGATGTTTTTGCCATTGCTGAGCAGGGCTTACACAGAGCCAAGGCCTTTTCTGCTTCTTGTACTGCCACCCAGGTGAGGAAGCTGGGAGTGCATGGGAGGTTGGGAGGAGACACAACACCTGTCCAGAGCTAGGACAGGTGACCCAAACTGACCAAAGGGATATTCCAGACCATGTGACATTCAGTATATAAAATGGGGGGAAGAAAGGTGGGGTGCCTTTGGAGTAATGCCATTTGCCTTCCCAAGTCACTGTTGCACCTGATGGGGCCCTGCCCTCCTAGAGATGGCTGAACACCTGCCCATAGAAAACACTGAATTAATTCCTTGTTTTGATTTGCTCGTGTGTGTGTGACTTTTGGTTTCCCTATTAAACTGTCTTCACATCAACCCATGAGTTTTCCATCTTTTACCCTTCTGATTCTCTCCCTGATACTACTGGTGGGGGAGTGAGAGAGTGGTTGCATGGGGCTTGATTGCTGGCTGGGGTTAAATCACAATTGGAACACTAGTGTTTATGTTTACTCCTTTAAAAACAGGTATTTCTGCTGAGGGACCCAATGGCACCCAGGCTTTAAGTTCATCAGTGCTGTTTGCTGGGTATAAAACTGTCTGGATGGCCAGGCCACAAAACATGGTAAGAATTAAAGGCAGTTGGTGGCTGCCACAGGCAGTGCTCCTTAGGGCTCAGTTGTGCTATGTTATGTGCACTATATATACATATATGTGTTACTGGCCTGAGTGGCCAGTCCTGTTTCATACCTTTATCAGTAGTAAACTGCATTGAGCGCACCCTCAGTTAGTTTGCAGATGACACCAAGTTTGGTAGGAATGTTCATCTGCTGGAGGCGAGGAAGGCAGAGGGATGTGGACAGGCTGGATCAGTGGACTGAAGACAATGGTGTGAGGTTCCACAAGGCCAAACACCAGGTCCTGCATTTGTGCCACAACAACCCCATGCAGTGCTAAAGACTTGGACAGAGTGGCTGGAAAGCAGCCCAGTGGAAAAGGACCTGAGGGTGCTGGTTGAGAGCAGCTGAACACGAGCCAGTGTGTGCCCAGGTGGCCAAGAAGGCCAGAAGCATCCTGGCTTGTGTGAGGAATAGCGTGGCAAAAGGACCAGGGCAGTGATTGTCCCCCTGGCATTGATGAGGTCATATCTTGAATCAAGTGCTCAGTTTTGGGCCCCTCACTACAAGAAGGACACTGAGGTGCTGTAGCAAGTCCAGGGAAGGGCAACAAAGCTGGTGAAGGGTCTGGAGCACCAGTCTTAGGAGGACTGGCTGAGGGAGATGGAGGTATTTAGACTGGAGAAAAGGAGGCTCATGGGAGACCTGAGCTCTCTACAGCTGCCTGAGAGCAGGTTGTAGTGAGGTGTGGGTCACCCTCTTCCAAGCGACAGGACAAGAGGAAACAGCCTCAAGTTGCATCAAGCAGGAGATTAGACTGGATATTACAAAAAACTTCATGGCAATTGCTGTCAAGTATTAGAATAGTCTGTCCAAGGAAGTGGTTGAGTCACCAAAAGATATGAATGTCGTACTTTAGGGGCATGGTTTAGCAGGGGACATGGCAGTGGCAGGTTAACAGTTTGATTCAGTGATCTTAAAGGTCTTTTGCAACTAAAATGATTCTATGATTCTGTAATTATTGGTAAAAGTCTGCTTCCTTCCCCTTCCTCTGTCAAGATTATAGGTTCTTCACAAATATAATTCTACCCTAGCCCTGGAAACTCACTTTTCTTCCCAAATAGTGTGTAGGACATGTCACATTACCTCATCTCTGCTAATAAGTTCATTGGAGAAAGTCAATCCAGGCATCAGGCCCCTCTTCTTCAGCCAAAATATAGCAGCAAAGGAACCCGAAAAGAAGATGCCTTCCACTGCAGCAAAGGCAACCACTCTCTCACCTGTTTAACATAGCACATTTTTTGTTAGACACAAATTGCTCTATTGCTCATCAGCAAGAGGCACCATTTGCATCAGACAGAGTGATGCTGGAGAAAAGTAATCTCCCTTGCAGCACCAGATGCTTTTTGACTACATGTGTCAGCAGATCCTGATGCACAGTGGGTCTACACACCCCACAGCACTCAGCCATAACAACCCCAGCAGAACTGGAGAACCAGGGCACCCACTGAACTGCCACAGGTCAGAAGCAAAAGAAGGTAATTGTCCAAAGTGGCCTGGACATTAGTACTCCACTGTCTCTTTCTCCTGAAAGGCAGGAAAGCAGCTGTGTAACTGACAGCCAAAACTGAGAAAAGGGCCAATCTCATAAATTACACTAAAAACCCTACACCACAATTTCTTCTTGTTGGGAATCTACATAAACTATATTCTTAAAGGAGTGAAAGTCCTTTCACAGAACATAAGTCAAGACACAAATAACTACTTGTGTTATCCCACCTTCAGTTCAAGGAAAGCAAGGCATTATTGGTCTCAGTTCTCCTTGTTCTCTACATGAATGTATTTCTTCAGACTACAAGACCATCTGACTGTTTAGTGAAGCCACATCCCTCCATGTACACTACTTCAAACAACTTCACAGGCTCATTGTGTATGTTCTAACATGAACAGCTTTGGCACTGAGTTCTGGTGCCTTTTCCCACTAAGAACTGCACAGAATTTTGTTTTAAAAATAACCCAAAGTAGCCAGATGTTCTAGTTCCTCTATGAGATACAAACGTCAACTGCTGGCTCATCAGAAGAAATTCAAATTAGGAAAAAGCACAGAGAGCAATACCAACTTACAAGTATCACAGAAGTTATTAAAGAAAGATTTTTTCTGGCAACACTAAAAGTCTTGTAGGTTACTGCTACACAGGAATGGAAAGGCTGCTTATAAAATATAGGTTTAATGAAGCAGAAGACTGATTACTTATTTGGATAAAATGCATTAAACTTGGGGGCAGGGAGCAGGGGGCACACTGCTTTTTGAGTAAGGGGACTTTCTGATTCCTGGCACATCCCACACTGCTGGGAGCCAAACAAAGGGATGATGAAGGGGTTTCACACACAGCAAGCAAAGCCAGACCAGGGAGGCAGTGGGAGCCAGGACAGAACAATGTACAGCTACAAAAAAGAACCTCTCTCAAACAAGAGCTGTGAACAGATGCTGCAAAGGAACAATGTTCAGATTTATTTTGTTCACCAGGCTGAATCTCTCCATCTCCTACACTTTCTCAAAATACACAAGATGTTTGCTTTAAAAAATTCACCAGAGTGCACACATTATGCATTTCAGCTACAGCAAACCCTTCCAAGTCAACACTGTAATGCTGAATGCAGAACATTTCTAAGGATGTCCTGCAGCACATTGATGGAAACTGAGCCACTGTCCCAGCTGTGAAATGAGATGCAAAAACTAGAAACCTGGTCCCAACAGCAAACCAGAAACACCAGAAATAGATGGTTCTTGAATCTTTTTTGTCCAGGCTCAGACATGCCTCTGTTACAAAAAAAACCCATGGATTTCTCTATAGGAACATGGACACAGAAAATACCTGGACTTGCAAAAACTTCAGCTGCCCTGTTCTGAACACTGAGTGAAAAATAAGAACCAACTAGAAGAAATAATCAAAACCAGAAAATAAGGTCTACAAGCAAAAACTGAGGAAACTAGAGTTATTCAGTATAAATTAATACTGAGTATCAGTATAAAGATAAAAAAGAGCATTTTTCATAACATGATTTCAGGGGGCACTGCCATTACTTTATTTATCTACCTGACGATAAAAACATACAAGCTCACCAGAATTTACTTCTAGTTCTTTAGTTAAACCAGAGACCCAGAAGTCACTACATCTGTGGAGAATTTAATTTCTTGTTCCAGGGGTGCAGCTTACTCACAGAAGGTCAATTTGTGATATGCAATAGAAACAAGTTTATAAAAAGCTACACACCAAAAGTGGATTCTCGGTCTTCAATCCACTTCAGAGCCCAGTCTGCTTTCTTCTTAACACAAGGCATTGTTTCAATAGCATTAAACAAGAAATCCCTATAGAAGAAAACAGAAACAAAACATCATAATAGTGATTTAGGAAAATCTGCCCTGGCTGTCCCTTCCAGCTCCACCAGACAGAGGATCCCATTACGCAAGGCTCTGAACTAACCCAAGCAAGAGACCACTCCCACCCCAAAGAGGTGATGATCTGTCCTATCTTTGTCTGGGATAGAGTTCACTTTCTTCCTAGTTGCTTGTACAGTGCTATATCTTATATTTGGAAAGAGAATTATGTTGATAACATACTGATGTTTTAGGTGTGGCTAAGCAGTGTTTACACAAAGTCCAGGACTCTTCAGCTTCTAACCCCACTCCACCAGTGAGCAGGCTGGGGGGAACAGGAAGCTGGGAGGGGACACAGCCAGAAGAGAAGACCCCAAGTGGCCAAAGGGATATTCTATTGATGTCATGCTCAGAATATAAACTAGGGGAAAGCTGGCCAGGGGCCAGTGAGCAACTGCATTGTGCACCACTTGATTATTATTTTACTACTACTATTATTATTACTATTGTTACTATTATTATTGGTATTATTACTGTTATTTTCCTGTCCCATCCAGCTGCCTTTACCTCAAACCACCAGTTGCTACTTTTCTCCCCAGTTCTCTCCCACCCCACTGGGCAGGGGCAGGCAGTGAGTGAGCTGCTGTGTGCTGATAGCTGCCTGCCAGGTTAAACCACAATGTCATCTGTGACAAAAAGGGCAGAGGGAGGCAAATGTGCAGAATGCAACATCCCCACGGGCTCAGGGGAGGAAGGCTGTGAACTCAAACATCCCATCCCAGGAGTGCTCACCCATCAGAGCACAGTCTCTCTCAGACTTGAAGCCAGCTACTTCAGACTATCCATAGAGCAAAACCTCATCTTGCCCAACTCCACAAAGAAACAGGACAGGTCCCACATGCACAGACTCTGTTCCTATGTTGAAAACCCGAAAGGAAACCTTGCAGTCCTGCCACCATCACCAACACATGATGATGGGAAAGCACTGTGGGAAAGCAATGTCTGCCCAACCATCACCATGGAGTCTCTGAGGGAAAGTGCTGCTTTTCAAGTATGTCCCGTTTGGACTAGGAAGCTCTTCAGACAAAAAAGGTGAAGTCAATCATTCAAAAATAAGCAGTTCAAAAATTGCATTAAAAAGCACTGATGACAAAAAGGATGCAATACAGTGATTGCTGTACATTGGAAACACCACTTTGATAATGAGCACTCAACTTCCTCAGGCTGATGCTTTGCTGATGTAAGAGCAAACACTGCAGGAGCACCATAACCTCAAGGAGCTCATCCAACCTTTAATATTTCACATACTCCGTGCTTCCAGCAATAAAAGATTATGCACATATTAACTAGCCTTCTGATACTCCCACAATAAGCCTTGGTCAGAAATATTCCTTTCCATTTTGGGGGTAGGACATGCAGGCCTCAAAAGCTTTAAGGAACTTCCCCCAATTCCCCAAGAAAGCCAGTACGAAAACAGGAGACAGCTGCCATGCTGCCCTACAACAGTGGCACAGGCTTCAGCCACAGATTTCCCACAGGTTTGTAACACATCCAGGTTTACCTTTTCTTGGGATCTTTGATGTAGGTGTCTATGAGCAAGCTGTACATCTCTGAGTGAACATTCTCAATGAGAATCTGGAAGCCATAGAAACAACGAGCTTCTGGGATCTGCACCTCCTGACTGAAACGTGCCACCTGCCAAAAGCAGAAAGCAGGCAATGAGTACAACAACACAGTCCTGCATGTCACTGCTCTGAGCTCAACAGGAGAGACAACAGATCTCTGGTACAGAGACAGGATGGGAGCAGTTCTGTCTTGCTTTGTTCACAGACATGTCAATAGGATAGCTGTGGTGCAGAAGAAAATAAAGCAAATAAATGCAGAAGTAAATACACTTAAGAGCTGAAGCATAAGGGCAAAAAGGGGAAGAACAACAAAATAATGCAGTACTAAACACTTAGTACTGAACAAAGCCTCAGATTTTGTGTTCATCACTAAAAACATAAACAGCATGACATAAGGCATCTTCATGCAATACATGCACATATATACTACATGTTATAAACATTCAAACATTTCAGATTTAAACTGGGCATTTGCAGACAGATACCACTGCTAACCTGTGATGAGATATTCTCCAGCCCAGAACAGACATCAACAGCAAGAATTCCCCACCTTTTTAGCAGCACCCACCTGCAGCCCTAAGAGATTCTAGGGTACTGTTCAGTGAGAACAAACCAGATTTTACCAAAATGAGGGATACATGGCACAGCCATGATCTGTATTCCCTACTTTTCAATTAACATGAGTACAAGAAAAATATGGAGTTATATTCATTCATTCAGAAATGCACATCCCACAGCCAACCAGGGACTGAACTTCAAAATGGTGATGTGATTTGAGTCCTGATGACCACAGCTGACTCATTTTAACTCAAACACTGTTCCCAGACAAACAAGTTGTTTGTTCCATTTGACAAAGGTGAGATGGAAAGAAAAAAAAGTACACATTAAATCAACCTATGAATTAATGTGAAAAAGCCAAAATGAAAAGTTAGTAAGACAATAAGATGACTAAGTATTCAAGCCCTCTGTAAGTCTTTCTCACCAGATTTTCATTTACAATTCCATCACTGGCTGCAAAAAATGCCAGAACATGAGAGATAAAGTATTTTTCATCTGCTTTCAGCTTGTTCCAGTGAGGAAGGTCCTTTGACAAATCAACCTAATGAAAAGAAAAAAAGGAAAACATTATTGTCCTTCTGCATTTATCATTCTGTAAAAACAAGCAGCCCAGTCAAGTGACTGAGGCAGAGTTTTGGCATTTGTTTTCAAATCTTTACATGTAGGGAATTTAAATACTTGTGACTGTAAATACAACAGAGACACTGCAATACTGTTGCCTCTCTCTGCAACAGTAACATCATGTACTTGTTTCACAGTTTATACTTTTGTATTTTGGAATAAAAATTGGTGTCTACTGAATAAATAAATGAGATTTTGAAAAGCCTTAGTATCTTTTTGCCACAAGTATGAACACACACCAGTAACCAGAGCTCATTCTGAGACACTTAAACTTTACTCAAAATAAATGCTGATACTCCAAGAAAGCCAAACCCAACTGGGTCAAAAGATGGACTGAGGGGACTTTGCCTTTGGCAGGTGTTCAGCCTCCATGTTGTCAAAGAATGGTGGGGAGCAAATGCTGTGCAACTGTTCTTGTCTATCAGATCAAACCCCAGCCATGAGAGAAAACCACAGCTTCCTTCACATGGGCCTTTTCTGTTTGTTTGTAGGATTTCTGAACCAAAACAGCACTAAAGTAGAGCTAGATTGTGAAAAATGCAGAGCATCCACAGATGGTAGGACAGTGTAAGAAGGAACCAGTAACACAGTAAAAGGGAAATGCTGCTAAGTCAGGAGTTCAAATGTTTTTTCTTTAACAGTTTAAATGAAGATCTGCTGCAACAGCGCAGCAAGCTGCCCAGCCAGGCAATGAAATACCACCTCTACAACCAGCAGCTCCTCATCATCCCATGATGCTTTCTGTTCTATTTAGAGGCTGCCAGTGCTTTCATCTCACTCCTCTGCAGTTGCCAGACCACTGCCCACAAACTCAGGTCCAGCTAACCAGCAACCCTGGGGAAGAACTTAGAGCTTGCACTGTAACATGGGACAAGCACCTCACCAGGGCAAGAACCTCACCAGGGCAATCAGGAGTCAGTTAAACGCATTTTTAGCAAAACTAACACTGTCTGTCTGGAAATTTAGGTACCTAATATTAAGGAACAGCATGAAATTTCCCAAAGCATCTTACATGGGCAAGGAGTCAGTTGCAGGTTCAGAGACCACAGCATGGTAGGAGCTGTCTGACCATGAATCAGAGCAATCTGACTTAGGATTGCTCTATAACCAGAGAAACAACCCAGGACATGATTCCATCTCATCCTAAACTAAGCAAGTAAAACAGCTCTGCTGAATCACCCTGTGAAAGCAGCTTGCTTTCCATGAATGATGTGATGAAATTAACTCCAACCTTTGCAACACAGAAGCCAACAGCGGAGCTAGGAAAGATGTGCCAGGACCCCAGTGGTCTGACTGTCTTTTGCCAACCCACTGGCCCAGGGCTCACCTCTTCTGCTGTCCAAAAGGAGGCCTGAGCCTGCTTATACATCTTCCATATGTCTGGATACTGGATGGGGAAGATGACGAACCGGCGGGGATTTTTTCTGAGTAGAGGTTCTTCATCAAGGTCAGAACCATTTTCAGCAGCACTCGATGAGCTCTAAAAATAAAGCACAGTTCTAGCTAAAGTTACTGCCATTTATTCCTCCTGCTCACACTATCCCAAAGGTGTGGTTTGAAGTTCACCCGTGTCAGACCTGGCCCCCCGGAGTCGGTGTCCCCTCGCCCTCCATCAGTGCTCCCGCAGCGCTGCCCGCCCGGCTCTACCAGCACAGCCCTCAGCAAGCGCCCCCTTCCAGGAAGCGCCTGTGTGCCACAGACAAAGCCCCGTGTGCCAGAGGCAAAGCCTTGTGTGCCACAGACAAAGCCTTGTGTGCCACAGACAAAGCTCCGTGTGCCACACAAAAAGCCCTGTGCACACGGGGGGAAATCTGCCCGGGGCCACATCAGCCGCTGCGGTCCCACACACCAGAGACACGAGTGAGGTCACGGCACGGTGCTGCAGCTGCCACCAGCACAGCTCCACCCAGCTCACTGCCCAGGTACCTCCCAGCTTTGCTTTATGCTCAGCCATTAGGGGCTGGATAGAGTGACTGCCTTAAGAAACCCAGGAGATGACAGTAACTAATCCCAACTGGCAGGGGACAGGCCTGTGCCACAGCGAGTCCCAGCACGGAGTTTGTGCATGCAGCCTGCGAGGGCAGCCCACACAACAGCGTGGTCTGGAGGCTGCCCTGGAGGGTCTCCCTCAATATGAAGCCAAAGTGCCTCTTCCCAGCAGCTGGCAGCAGTAAAACCTCTGCCTGGAGTCACCCATCCCACACTGATCCTTCTGTAATGGCCTTCCAGAGGACATCTGCACACAGCTCTTCTTCTGAGCTCCAGCCCAGCCAAACTGGGGAGGTGTGGACAGCTGATATTTAGAAAACAGGCCAGTGGAAAGTAGCAGAGAGAGCACTCTCTCTGCTCTTTTGGTCTGAGCAGGGCCTTGACCTCACCTCTGGCTGGAGACATCTGCTCCCAGGATCAGTCCCTGCATCCCTGCAGACATGTCACCAAGCACCTACCAGAAACAACTGCTGTGAAGAGCTGTCAGGATAGCAGGGTGCAAGCTCTGCAGAAGGGCTGGTGACACACTGATCACAAGTCCAGCAAGCAGGATGCCTTTCTGGGTTGCTCCAAGATGCCACTGACACTGCTGGAGAGGATAACTAACCACAGGCAGCATACAAGGTGTTCCATATAATACAGCAGAGAAGGGGAGCTGAAGGTTTTGAACACCATTATTTCTACCTTCCTGGAGGTATCAGGCAGTCTTTTCACTACCCAGTCTGATTGTAACTACTCACATAATAAAAAACATTCCTTTACTTCAATTTGGAAAATACTCTCAAACAAATAATGCCATTTACATTTTAAAAAAACAAACAAAACCCAAACATCCATGCACATTGCACAGGTGGCACAGATACCCCAGATGCCCAGTGAGTACATCACTGAAGCACATTCTGGGTTACAATTCTACCAATTTATTCTATTTCTAAATACTGCTCAATTACATGAGATAGAGGAATGGCTCCATGTGCTCAGGGAATGGCATCCAGCCAATTCCATCTGTTTTCACACCATTTGAAAATGGAAACACTGCAAAAGTTCTCCCTGTTATCCCAGCCACTGCTGGCTCACAGACAGTTTGCTGTCCTCCAGGACCCCCAGATGCTTCTCTGCAGAGCTGCTTTCCAACAGGTCACCCCCATCCTGTACTGGTCCCCAGGGTTATTCCTCCCCAGACCTTCCTCCCCATTTGTCATTGCTGAATTTCAGACTATTCCTCTGCCCATCTCCAGCCTGCCCAGGTCCTTCTGAAGGGCTGCACAGCCCTCTGGGGTAGTGGCTGCTCCTCCCAACTTTGTGCCATCAGTGAACTTGCTGAGGAGGCATCTGCACCTCCATCTTAGTCACTGGTGGATAAGTGAAAGAATACTGGGCCCAGCACTGAACCCTGGGGGACACAACCAGTGACAGCCCTGAAACCTGACCAGTGCTCAATCCACCTCAGCATCCACTCATCCAGCTCACGCTTTCTGAGCTTGCCTATGAGGGTACCATGGGAGACACTGGCAAAAGCCTGGCTAAAGCCCATGCAGACAAAATCCACTGCTCTCCCTTGTCCATTCAGCCAATTGTCCCATCACAGAAGGTCATCAGATTGGTTAAGCATGAGTTCCCTTTGGTGAATCCACAGTGACTACTCCTGATGACTGTCTTGTCTTCTACTGTGGGATGAACTGACCCATCATCTTCCCAGGGATTCAGGTGAGGCTGACTGGCCCAAGGTTTTAAAAACTGTACCAGTATTTTGTTAAATAGGTGGTTTTGGTTGTTAAGGGTTTTTTAATTTTAAAAAAGGAAAGGACAGTCACAGAGGCTACACCATACTGGAACCTCCTGCATAATCTACATCCCACCTCCCTTATCACCTTCAGGGCGCAGAGGAGTTTCACAGGCAGGCTGCTGTGCAAGGAGCCTTTCACAGGCTCTAAATGGCAGGAAGGCAGTGGCTACAAGGCAATCCTATCCTCTTTAACTCAATTTCAAGTGTGTGGCACATTCTGATCACTGCTGAGGCTTCTGAGCAGTCACCACCTTGTGCTGAAGGAGCATAATGCATTTCCTGCCTTGCCTTCCTGGATCCAGAGGCACTGGCAGGAGTGTGAGGGGCAGGAGAAGGTGGAAGTCACTAGGTCAACACCACCTTCAATGTGCACCCCAGATCTTTCTCTTAATGCTATAATGGTGCATAAAACAGTGAACACTCACCATAATGACAAAGGGCACTGAGTTTCTAAAGTGTACATGCTTCGTTCTGTTCAGACAACATGATTTAAATGTGTAAAAGAGCTGAAGCTGGTGGGAACAGGCCAACCCTTGCACCAGCAGGGTCAACCAGAATGGAGACTACATAACCTCTGTGAGCAACCTGTGCCAGCATCTGACCACTTTCAGAAAAAACAAGTGTTTTCTCACACGTAAATGCAACCTCTTGTACTTCAGTGTGTGACCAATGCCTCTAGTCCCACCACGGGGCACCACTGAGAAGAGCCTGGCTCTGTCTCCTTTATTCCCTCCACTAGGTATTTTCACCCACTCACAAAATCCCCTGGAGTCTTCTCCAGGCTGAACAGTCCCAACACCCACAGCCTCTCTTTGTATAACAGATGCTGAAGTCTCTTAATCATCAGCCCTTTGCTGGGCACACTTCAGTACATCATATTCCAGTTACGCTGCAACTGCGAGACAAGCTCTTCTGGTGATGACAATAAACCAAATGGACAACAAAAACTGCTTAGGAGTACTGAAACACCTTCCATTAATTTCAAATTCTGCAAACCAGGAAATAATTAACATATATATACACACATACAACCATGATCCCACAGCTACAGCTGCTGGGCTACATGTGCAAGCATCACAGTTACATCAGCTGTAGCCAGGGAAAAAGCTAAAGGTGCTGGCAGAGCACTGTGATGTGGAACATACACTCAGTGGTCTGTGACCATGAACCCTCTCACACCCTAGAAAAGGCTGCACGTGCATCCCAAGAGCTCCCAAAGCATCCAGGTCAGCCCTGGGCAGCACAGGCCACGCCAGCAGTGAAACTGGGAAGTCCATCACAATTCCTGGGAGAGATGGTTTGCACTGCACAGCGTCCGAGGAGCACAACACCTGCTCGTTCGACATGCTTGAGGGGATCACAGGACTACCATGCACCTGCACTAAGAGTACAGCACGTCACTTTTCAGGAAGACACAGTAATGGGTTCCTTATACTTGTATTTAACATGGCACACCTGGTTTTGGATACCTGAGTGCTTATGAGGCACAAGGGATCAGGAAGACCACGTGGGTTTTTCCCTGCCATGATGATCCTTTCTCCTTGAACACCTCAGCCTGGCTTAGCATGGTTATACTGAGGACACCAGAACGCAGCTCAGACGCCTCCCAGGGGCAGCCTCCCTGGTCAGCAGGGCCTGGGAAGCCGGGAGCATCACCAAGACCCACACCTGCCTCCGTGGCGGCTGGGGGCAGAAGGACGAGCTCTACCTTCCCGGCCCCGGCAGGCGCAGAGCTGCCGGAGCGGCACGCCCGGGCCCCGTGCCGCAGCCCGCGGCCGCCGCTCGCAGGCCCGCATCTCCCGCAGGTGCTGCCAGCGCTCCCCGGGCCGCGGTGTCCGAGCGCTCCGGCCCGGCTGGGACAAGGGCACGGGGGGACGGGCCTCTGCCCTTTCCAGGGCCGTCCGAAGCAGCGGGTCCCCGGTGGCGGGGTGTCCCCCCGCGGCGGCCCGGCCGGGCCCGGGGGGGAGGCAGCGCAGCACAGCGCCCGGCGGGGCGGGGAGGCCGCGGGGCCGGCCGGGCAAGGGCTGCGCTGCCGCCGCCGCTCCCGGAGCCCCCCTCGGCCCGGCCCGGCCCGGCCCCGCTCCCCGCCCCGCCCGGCCTTACCCGCTCCGGGCCCGCCGCCTCCTGCGGCGCCGCCGGGCCCCGGCGCTCGCCCATGGCCGGCGGGACTGCTCCGTGAGGGGCGGCGGCGGCGGAGGAAGGGGGAACGGCCATGGCCAAGGCCGCTCCGCCCCGGGGCGGACTCAGCAGTTGAATAACAAACACAGCCGCAGCGCTGGCCACGCTCCGTGAGGGCCCGTCACTGGCGGTACGATGGATGCTTGTTTCTCTCCCTTCTTGAGAGCAGAGGGAGCTTCAAAAGATTCTGATGTCCCCTTTCCAGAAAGGTAACTTTCGGTGCTGCTTTAAGAATTCGTGTGCCGTTAAGAATTTTGGGTATTTTTTTTAAAGGCACCTGGCTGCCACAGTGACTGAGACGCCCCCTCTCTCCATCCCCAAGCACGGGAAGGGGGAGTGAGGCCAGCTGCGCTCCTCCGCACTGCAATGTTTCCTGCGGCTTTTTGATGTCTTGTGAGAGACGCCCAAGCCTCACCAGGGCAGGGGATAAGAAAAGTTCCGTGGTGACATCTGTGACTGAGCACAAAAACAGTTCCTGTTTTCTTCCATGGAGTTTTCTAAGGAGCAGAAGCACGTGACTGAGTAACTTAAAAGCACAGCAAGAACACGTAAGGAGAAAAGGTGGATTCACATTAACAATATCTGCTGTTACCTGAGTACTGTTATTTCTGAGACATCCTTGAAGTTTTATTTCCCAGGGATACCTAGACAAGCTCCTTAATCTTTATGTCCAACAGCTCCACTCATATCAAGTACATGGAGTACGAGGGATTCCAGCTTTTTGTCCAGAGCAATTAGAGGAACACTGACTGATGTAGAGCAGACCCAACTGACCCATTTACAGACAAATTCTATTGGTGTGTGCAATACAGAGCTTGCTGGTGGTTTAAGGGGAGATGCATGAGTTTGTGGAACCAAAACCAACAAGCAGCACACTATTTGTATTAAATGACATTGACTGGTCTACCAGTTGTCTTAGCCCCAAATCTCATTGTCCTGGCCCTACTGTTTAGAATTCCCTAAATAAGGAAATGCCCTGTCCTGACAGGGATTAAGATCTACTATAAATTAATATAATTAGCAATAGAAAATTGTTCAAGAATTTGGAGATAACTTCTTAAATGCCTACCCTTATGTTTAATTACATGGTGCCTAAAGATGCACAGAAAAAGAAAAATACTGGAAAGGATTAACCAAACAGCATGTGGCTGTTCTTGCACCTCCACAAAAATCTGCCAACTTCTGTTAGCTTTGTTTTATAAAAATTAAATCATGTACACAACAGTAAAATACAGACAAGTGCATACAAATGGAATACAGCATTATGCACAATTTTGCAAGATTTCAGGTTACTCAGCTGTACCTACAATGTCCTGTTTAGAAAAAGCTCCTTGACAGGTGGTGGAAGCTGTATTCCTCCCCTAGTTCCTCACTGCTATGGCAGATGTCCTGCTATGGCAAATGTAGTCTTCACTGCTTCAACCGTCCTACCTCTTTCTTCCCTCCTCCAAAAGGGGTTACTTTTTGGGGGAATACTCAGATGCCTTTTAAAATTGGTTATAATTCTAATTTTGTATATGAAAATGCCATTTCAGGTAAGTTGAAGAATTTTCATTTATAAATTTAAGTGAAATCTGCTTTTCAGCTTAGCACTGTTCACTCTCAGAAAATCAATTTGTGAATCATTTCAGTATGTCTAAAGCCTAAAATTTCTTTAAGTCTCCTTGCAGTCTCTGTGCAGAGAAACTTTACCACAGGTTGTGGCAACAATCTGTTTTCCAACATGACTACAGTATTCAAGCATACTCATTTGGTTAGCTGCCACTGCCACTGGACAAAGGGATATTGAAGTTTCACCATGATGGAAAAGTCCTGGAACCCCTGGGAGCAACCAGCTGCCTCTTGTTATGCTAAACAGTCTATTACTATAATAGCAGTTTGTGGTGATAATTGGAAAAAAGTAGTTTGTGGAAAATACTATCTAACAGGATTGTCTTTCAAGCAAGACATGAAGTTATCCTCTAAGACAACTCCACAAAAAATCCATTAAAATTTATAAAAGATTAAAAGCCCTCCACACTTCTCAGTTCAACAAATCTGAAATAGCTGCAAATGAAAGCCACAAAAGCAATTTCCAACTAGCAAAGGATCCATCAGAGCTCCTGATAATGCCAGAAGTCCTGATGGGCAGTGACTGCACTGTGATGGAGGCCACTCTCCAGTTGTGAAGTCTGTTCACGTCCTCCCCACAGAGATCATGTGGAAACTTCCAGCACTGTGAGTTACAGGCACTCACTGAAGCTTTCTCATGACCCATTCACTGACACATTTTAAAGTGTGGACATGCCTTCTACCTCAGAGTAAGATAATGCCACACATGCTGAAATCCAGCTAATCTGGACATGCAGAATTTTCTATTTGGTTTTAGCAGATCTGTTACTAAATAGGCAAACAAAAGAGTTCAGGAAAAAGGTCAAATCCTACAAAGCTTGAAAGAAGAAGGGAATCAGAGCAACTAAACGAGGTATCGACAGTTTGCCTTACAGAGAGGAAGCCAGAAAAATCCAAGTGAAGCGAAGAGCATGGTATTTACAGATGCACAGGCTGTGGGACCTATAAAGAGGGAGTTAGGGCACAGCAGTTAGCATAGAAAGGAGGAGGTTAGCACAGACTCAGTGAACAATCATTCACGTGGTGTTAAGAGTGACCAGGAGCTGTGCTGAGTCCTGGCTCTCTCTGAGAAGCAACTGCACAGGAGGCGGTTGGTGGTGGCTGGGCAACTTCCCCCACCTGCACTCCAGCTACCATGGAGAGCTGCAGCCCTCCTCACTACACACTTCCCTTCAGATGCATTGAAGTAAACTTCTGAAAACCAGCAAGTCTGTATGGTTTGCATAATTGCATACAAGGATAAACCTTGTTTAAGAATTGAGGAAAATTTCCTTTCCTCTGCCTCCCTGAAAGCTGCTCTGCAAGGGTATGGTGTTGGATTCATAAGATTGCCAGTTTCCAGCTTTATCACTGCTTGTTATCTAGGGACCAAATTACTCACTTGTAGGAAAGAAAAACCACTTCCAAACCACACAGGTGGGAAAGACCACTCGATGACAATTTTTCCTTCCTGGAAAATTATCAAAGCTGGAGCAAGTGATTTACCTTGTGTTGGATACAGCTAGTTAAGTAAAAGAAACCAAAGCCAAGAATTAGTCACAGAAATTAGCACTAAAGTATCAAGGTTTCACTAGATTCAGATTAGGACCTACTCTAGTAGTTGGTCATAATATTTTATTAGCAGCTACCTTTATTGCCTCTTTCAGCAATGGTGAACAGCTAAGGATTTAGACTATTAAAAAGAGTAAACATTACAGAATTTAACTAGTTTCACTACCACACTTTAAGTGAACTAACAGAAGGGCTTAAGTCAAAGGGAGAGGAGGTGTATGATTTTAATAAACATTTTTCTTATTAAAATCTTGATATAGTTGAAATATACCATACAGAGGAAAAAAAGCTATTTATAAAGCTACATACATATTTCAAGTCAATGACGACAGTATATATCATTCTAAATTCCCTCTCTGCTTACCAGAATGCCTTGTGTGTGTATATAGGGTGAGCTACTGTGCTATCTGCAAAGCTTTTGTCTAGCTATACATTACAGGACTTAAAAAATGCTTAATCTATATACAGAAATATATATACATATAACATATATTTATATGTTATACATACACATACACTTATATACATATACACACAATACATATATATATACACAGTACTTTACATGTATATGTGGCCTTTCATCCAAGGGCCTTGGATAATTCTTAGTACATCAAGCCTCACAAAGCTTTGTGAGGGAGGGAGCTTTATTTTACAGACTGGAGTTTTGATGCTATTCTAAACAGTTTCTTTTGTTGCTTTCTACTAACCTTGCACATTTCAGTTAGAGGCAGTTTTGGTAGTGGAAATAATCACAGCAGTTTGATAGCCAGGCAAAAGGTAGATGTTGCTTTGTACCTTTGTAACTTATCCTCCTTAGTATAAGAGAACAGCCACACCACTATACTAAAATGCCTCTAGCTAGATTTGTGAGGCTGTACTGCTTTTTCTTTTTAGCGTAGTAAAATCAGTTTTGAACTTAAGATACACTGGAGGTCACAACAGGAAGTCTAGCTCCAATCCTCATACATTGAAACTATCCTTTTCTAGGATGATCGATTTAGAGGAAGCATTAGTACCTGCAGAAATAATTCTGCATCTGTTTATTTATCTGCAGTTTAAGTACACAAGCCTGAAACAATCCACCTTATTTAGAGGAGAGGATTTTCAGCATCAATTTGGCAACTGGTGATCAGAATTTGTGGTATCAACTGTACTCCATACCTTTAGCAACTAAAAAAATGAAGAGGCTTTTTTGAAAATCAGATGTAGGTAACTTTTGGTCATCCTACAACTAGCTAACAGAAATGAAAACCCAGAGGAGTTCTGGCAGAGGTGAGTTCTGCTAGGATTTGGACGGAACATTACTTCAGCTCTTCCCAACAAAAGGGAGAAAAAAAATCATTAACATGGACTAATAGGGTTGGAGAAGCAAGAAAGAAGAACATCACCACCACAGAAGTTCTTATCCCTCAATATTTCAGTCTGCTAAGCTTCATAAATTTAGTTTTACAGCAAAAAAAGTAGCTCCTTTCTTCATCAACCAATTTCTAACTCAAAACCTCTCAAGCCTTAGGGAAAAGAAATCCTACATCAAGGTCAAAGACTGCCCTCCCCAAATCTAACCAAGCACTTCATAAGTGAAAGTACAGTAGAACTCACTACAATGAAATTTGAGAATTTTATTCTAAACTAATTGCCTTGAGATTTTTCAGAACAAGCCACTTTTCCTTCAAACCAATTCTGTTAAAAGGAGGGGTTGCCTGGCCCATTTCTTTCAGGATTCTCTGCTAACTGTAAAATGTGGGCTAAATGTCTTCTGCATGTCAATTTTTCAGCTACAAAATTCAGATTTTTAATGACCAACTATGTTTAGTGTATGCTGTTAGCTAAAGTATAAATGGCTTAATAAATAAAAACTATTGTTTCTTCAGTATGACTTGGTATTTTGTCTGTAATTTCTTTATTAAAAAACTGTAACAAGATACTTAAAAAAAGGCTAGATACAAAAGAAGTTAAGCAGCTCACGAACATTAAAGTTTTCCAAAAAATGTATCTTCAATAATCATGATCTTATAAACATTTTACAGTTACCAGAAAGTGCCCAGGCTGAGTTTACATAGTTAGATAATGTAGTACAAGTGTTGGGTTAGGACTGGTAGTGGAACAATCTCCTGACTGTCTGTTCACTGTAACAAGGATACAAAAATGCTGATTGTGAACTATGAAATACTGTGCATTGGCCTCATCAAATATGTACAGGGAAAAAAAAAAACCACTAAAGGTACAGATTACATGCAAAATATTAGTGATGGTAACTGATGTGCCAGAGTTCAATGCAATAGAACAAAAATTGCAATGGAAGTGGTTTCATAAGTCAGCAATCCCAACTCTGGGATCTGAGCTGTCAGGAACTTTTTACAAGTTCAATATACATGATACACAACTGCAGCCAACCACAAATTAAACACCATTAAAAAAAAAAGTTAAAAACACAGAACATACTTAATTTTTTATTTTGAAATTCCCTACTCCCTCTATACAAGAACCTTTGCTGAAACACTT